TGAATATAATATAATATAATATAATATAATGTAACAAATAAGACAATGAAATTATATATGTACAACAAACTTGCCCATTGAGACAGTAAAAAGTATGACAACAACAATGAATATAATATAATATAATATAATATAATATAATATAACGAATAAGACAATTAAATTAAATATGTACAACAAACTTGTCCATTGAGACAGTAAAAATGACGTGAATATAAATATAATATAACGAATAAGACAATATAATTAAATATGTACAACAAACTTGCCCATTGAGACAGTAAAAAGTACAACAACAATGAATATAATAACGAATAAGACAATTAAATTAAATATGTACAACAAACTTGCCCATTGAGACAGTAAAAAGTACAACAACAATGAATATAATATAATATAATATAATGTAACGAATAAGACAATGAAATTATATATGTACAACAAACTTGCCCATTGATACAGTAAAAAGTACGTCAACAACAATTAATATAATATAATATAATATAATAAATAAGACAATATAATTATGTACAACAAACTTGCCCATTGATACAGTAAAAAGTACGTCAACAACAATTAATATAATATAATAAATAAGACAATATAATTAAATATGTACAACAAACTTGCCCATTGATACAGTAAAAAGTACGTCAACAACAATTAATATAATATAATAAATAAGACAATATAATTAAATATGTACAACAAACTTGCCCATTGATACAGTAAAAAGTACGTCAACAACAATTAATATAATATAATAAATAAGACAATATAATTAAATATGTACAACAAACTTGCCCATTGATACAGTAAAAAGTACGTCAACAACAATTAATATAATATAATAAATAAGACAATATAATTAAATATGTACAACAAACTTGCCCATTGATACAGTAAAAAGTACGTCAACAACAATTAATATAATATAATAAATAAGACAATATAATTAAATATGTACAACAAACTTGCCCATTGATACAGTAAAAAGTACGTCAACAACAATTAATATAATATAATAAATAAGACAATATAATTAAATATGTACAACAAACTTGCCCATTGATACAGTAAAAAGTACGTCAACAACAATTAATATAATATAATAAATAAGACAATATAATTAAATATGTACAACAAACTTGCCCATTGATACAGTAAAAAGTACGTCAACAACAATTAATATAATATAATAAATAAGACAATATAATTAAATATGTACAACAAACTTGCCCATTGATACAGTAAAAAGTACGTCAACAACAATTAATATAATATAATAAATAAGACAATATAATTAAATATGTACAACAAACTTGCCCATTGATACAGTAAAAAGTACGTCAACAACAATTAATATAATATAATAAATAAGACAATATAATTAAATATGTACAACAAACTTGCCCATTGATACAGTAAAAAGTACGTCAACAACAATTAATATAATATAATAAATAAGACAATATAATTAAATATGTACAACAAACTTGCCCATTGATACAGTAAAAAGTACGTCAACAACAATTAATATAATATAATAAATAAGACAATATAATTAAATATGTACAACAAACTTGCCCATTGATACAGTAAAAAGTACAACAACAACAATGAATATAATATAATATAATATAATATAATGTAACAAATAAGATACAGTAAAAAGTACGACAACAACAATGAATATAATATAATATAATAAATAAGACAATATAATTATGTACAACAAACTTGCCCATTGATACAGAAAAAAGTACAACAACAAGAATGAATATAATATAATAAATAAGAATATAATTATAAATGTACAACAAACGTGCCCATTGATACAGTAAAAAGTATGACAACAAAAATGAATATTATATAATATAATAAATAAGACAATAAAATTATATATGTACAACAAACTTGCCCATTGAGACAGTAAAAAGTATGACAACAACGATGAATATAATAATAAATAAGACAATATAATTATAAATGTACAACAACCTTGCCCATAGATACAGTAAAAAGTATGACAACAACAATGAATATAATATAATTGTCACAAAGCAAGGCCAGACATCTGGATGGTGACTGAAGTGACTGTGATGAATCCCTGACAATAATATAATATAATATAATAAATACGACAATATAATTATAAATGTACAACAAACTTGCCCATTGATACAGTAAAAAGTACGTCAACAACAATGAATATAATATATCATAATATAAAACTAAATAAGACAATATAATTAAAAATGTAGAACAACAACAACAACAGCAATAATAATAATAGGTGTCTAATAATAAATTTTATTTGCATACATAAAATGCAGAAAGTGTTTCACAAGTATAGCCTCTGAAATATCATGATCGCAAACGACATGTAAAATGTGGTGAAAAAAAAACATAATTTTAAACATTTTTGCGTAGTAATATTCAATTATTCTTCTTTAAAGGGTCATGAAACCCCCTGTTTCAGCACTGGTTAATTCTCACCACAGTTGCTAAAATGCTAAAAAATAATAATAATAATAAAAAGTGGGCGTGGTGCGCAGCGGAGCAGAGGGGAAGAGGGGAGACAGACAACACACACAGCTTCGTGTTCAGGCAGTTTCATTTCGCTCTCATCGAATTAAAAACACAAATAAATGCACAGCACTCTGCATCGAAAACATATACTGTATATGAACGCGCTGTTGCACCTCTGAGAACTTTTAAGGCTTATTCTGTGGCGTTTATATAAGCCTTTTGACGGGTTGTGTCACAGAGCTGTAAAAACGGTTATGCTCACCAAGTGAATGAATCGCGTTTGTGCCGAACTCTTATTACAAAGCAAAACAAACACTCTTCTTCAATCCATGAACCTTTCTCTCAGTTAATGTGCGATGTCATCTCACAGTCTGAAACGTCTGTCATAGCAAATCAACACATGCTGACTGTTGTGAATAATTAAGCTAAGCCTCTTCTCATAGGATAAGAACACGCAGTCTCATGAATAATTTAATAGACACCAACGAGTCATCAATGTACTATAGTCCATTGCCACGTCACGCATTGTGACATCAACACGATGTAGATTTTAAACCCGGAAGATGAAAATAGCGCAAAAAAGTTTAAAATTAACCCGTTTTCTCCAACAGTTAAAATTATCGGATGCTAACATTGTCTTCTATGATGTACAACACAAACACCTCTGCTAAAATCTCAGAAAAAATAGTCTGGGTTTCCTGACCCTTTAACTGTTATCTGTTTAATCTTCATCTCAATTTCACCTAATATTTCACAACCTCTCTAATAAAAGAGATTTCATTAGCCTACTTGATACAGACACAGATGGTCACCGATCCTTCTGGAATCTTTCACGATTCAAATTTAATTCACAATAAAAACAACAACAACAACTAACAAGGTAGCAGGTTCATTTGCGTGTGAAAGACTCAGCAACTGGTTTTCTTTTTTCTAGCCAATAGGCGTTGTTACTACTATTTATCCAGTTAACAGTTTTCACCTTTGGTTTTTAATAATTCTAAACATAATATGAACTATAAATTCTACTGCTAAAACCAACTTTAGCAATGAAAGATGATGCATCATGCAGCTAGTCAAACCCAGAGCCGTTGAGAAACAGAGTTGCGACACTCCCATAGGCTTCCATAGGAACTGAGGAATGTGGAAGTAAAGCGTGTCATGGAGCAGCCAATAGTTCCAAACACCCGTATTGAAGCCCATTCATTTCAGTGCTTCTCAAGCACACTCGCCAGAAAGTTTAGAAAATTACAGCAGTTTTTGGCATTTTAACGCATTAGTTTCCCTCTCGGAAATCTGGCCAGTAGTTGTATTTTATGAAACGCGTTATAGTTAATGTTTAGTTTTAGATATAGGCAATTATGCTATATTTGCTGTTAGATAACGTGAGAAACACCTTAATAGCGATCATAACTAGATGCTAGTTGTCATATTTTTTAGTTTTTAGTCTGTCTGCAATCTTTCTCTCCCTGTAGGAAGTTGAATGAGTTTCAGTGAAGACTGCCCATTAAAGGAATACAAGAAAGAGTTTCCCTGAATGCAGTTGCTTGCCTTGTTTTGTTTTTTTTTTACGTTTTATTTTTTTTAATCGGGTTAGATTCCGTATATTGCTGGCCTTTTTAACATTCACTTATATTGTCTTCTTACATAAATGTCATAAAATAATACTGGGATGTGAGTAATTCATCTTTTGGAGTTGTTTGGAACTACTGAGAGCTCCATGAACCACGTGACCGCGCGGCGCTGAGATCAAAGCATGTCACAACTCTGTTTCTCAACGGCTCTGGTCAAACCCAGAGGAGGGCTCGTCCTGGTGTGTTCGGCTGTGCCTTATATAGTTTGGAGAGGAAACGAGTGGATTAAGAAAGGATTTAATCTATGAAGTACTTATAAATCTGCTTAGGATTCAGGAAATTGGTATAGTCCTGAGGTTCTTATGGGTACCTGCACATGTAGGAGTACTAGGAAATGAAATAGTTGATAAACTGGCCAAACAAGCAACAAAACATATGAACGTCGAGGTACAAATTCCACTGAGTAAAGTAGAAATGAACATAATACACCATAAGTTGGCTTGTCAACCGCCATAAAATCGTACAAGAAGAAGGAGGGCTCGTCCTGTTAACAGCTGTCACTGTCGTCCAATCAGCGACCGCAGAATCCGGGACCGTTGGTCTACTGACCAATCAGCGACCGCAGAATCGGGCCCTTTGGTCTACTGACCAATCAGCGAGCAAACCAATCCGCTTTCCGTGACGCTTCCTGGAGCTATCGCTGAAAGCTCTGGCGGGAGACAATGCAGGAGTTTCTGGTTCCGGAGCAGAAGGGGGCGGTAATGCACCAATAAGCTGGATGCCAACCGCCGTTAAACTGGAAAGAAGAAGAAGAAGGGAGCCAACGCATTGAACGCAGCTCGTATTTGTCAGTTTAAGTAACGGGTTTCGCGAAATAACATCTGTTTTACGTTCCTTGTTACTACAGTAACGTTAGAGCAATGGCAGAAGTGCAAGTGCTAAATGTAGCTGTCCTGGACAACCCGAGTCCGTTTGGAAACCCGTTTCAATTCGAAGTAACATTTGAGTGCATGGAGGATCTTCCTGAAGGTGAGTATTAAAGTGGATATTAATATTTGATATGTTTCCTCGTTCTTCGTTAGCCTGCTAGCTAACGCGCTAACTCCTACAGATGACGCCAGATTGGCGGGTGATTGAAGCGCGCGAGGAGGAAGCTGAGCTGTAATTTATCCTTTATTCTCAGTTAAACCAAACTAATCGTCCCTCTTCCATCTAACATTTTGTCTTTTTCTATTGATGTGTGTATTGCTAAGAAAGAAAGAAAAAAGACGCACAAATCTGTTAGTTATGCGTGGACATTGCGTTTGTTATATTACGATAAATCTTTCCTAGTAACTAACTGCAATAATACATATCGATGGTATTATTTATTAAAACCTCGCAAATTAGCAAATGCATTACTCTAATTCCACTATGCTACAGGGTTGCCATATAGAAACTGTAAAGTTTTCTGTAAAACTTTGTTAAATATGATCTCTGAACAACAGCATAGATTTATCTTATCTAATATAAACGAAAAATCCAGATGAAATGCACATAAATTTATAATAATACACGTCACATCTCTTACATTTGACACCCTAGTACTAGGAAATTAAATGTTGAATCTGCTCTTTTAATTCCAACAAAATCATACACTACTACCAGTCATGCAACCAAGGATGCATTTTTATTTAATCAAAAATACAGTAAAAACTGTAATATAGTAAAATAGTGTTACAATTTAAAATAAGTGTTTTCAGTTTGAATAGATTTTAAAGCTGAATTTCCAGCATCATTACTCCAGTCTTCAGTGTCACATGATCCTTCAGAAATCATTCTAATATGCTGATCTGCTGCTCAAGAAACATTTCTCGTTGTTGAAAACTGTTTTGCTGCTTAATATATATTTTTTGGAAATCAGAATATTTTTAAAGGATTCTTTAAATGGAAAGTTAAAAAGAACAGCATTTCTTTAACATAATAAATGTCAGTTATATGCAATTTAATTTAACGCGTCCTTGCTGAATAAAAATATTAATTTCCTTACCGCAACCATGTGCATGGTAGTGTATTATGGTTTCCACAAACATATTAAGCTGCAAAAAACATCAATAAAGAGACCTCTTTCAAAAACATTAAAAATGGTTAATTATTCCAAACTTTTGGCCAGTAGTGTATGTGTTATAGTTTTTTTTCTGAATAGTTGATTGTAATTACACATTATACAGGAAAATCTGATCTTTTGAATAAAATAGTTTTCTGTGTTCTAGATCTCGAATGGAAGATTATTTACGTGGGCTCAGCAGAAAGTGAAGAGTACGATCAAACTCTTGACTCTGTCCTGGTTGGTCCAATTCCTGCAGGCCGACATATGTTTGTGTTTCAGGTGAGTTCATAACACGGATTATCATTATCAACAATGTTTACTTCGTTAAAAAACCCCCACACAAATAGGGTATAAATTTGCCATTTTCAAAGTGTTGCGTCTGTTTAATGTAACTTAAACTTTTATAGCCACAGTCTCACCACAACTATTATTGAGATTGTTATTTATTAAATTACATGTTGTCACTCTAATATGGCCACATTCACACAGCAGCAGAAAGTTGTAAGTCCTGTATTCGAGTCATCTATGCAGCACAAAAGTAGGTTTAGCTAGCAGAACAGAAGTGAGCATTTTTTGTGTTGTGCATTTGAAACTACACGAGTGTGGTTCCTTTATAGGTGAACTATTCCTGTAATGTTGTTCTGTATTTAATGTACAATAGTCAATAAGCCGCACTTATCCTGCAGTTACACCCAGTTAGAGTCATGCATGTATTCCAAGTAATACTTTCCTTTCACTCATTCATTTCTGTTATGGTATTTTTGTCTTTTGTGCAACAGGCGGACGCTCCAAACACTGGCCTAATACCTGAGAGTGATGCTGTGGGTGTCACTGTTGTTCTGATCACATGCACATACAGAGGACAGGAGTTTATACGCATCGGCTACTATGTTAACAATGAGTACACGGACACTGAGCTTCGTGAGAATCCGCCCCTCAAACCTGACTATGGACAGGTATGTCACCATGCTTCTTACACTCCGTGAAATTAAAGTCCCCATGAAATCAAAATTGAAGTTTTTTAGAACGAGTATGTTAGCCTTAAGGTTTTCTATAAGCTAGTGTGCTCCAAAACAATGACAAAATTCGCGTTTAGAAGATACAAGCATTCAAAAATTACAGTCTCTCACTGCCGCCAATATGGATCTACGATTTTGATGACCCTGCACTTCAGCTTCTCATCCAACTTTCTGTCCAATCAAATGCTCTCTAGAATCCGAAGCGTCCCGCCCCCTTCACTATAAATAAACGCTGAAGCCGTGGCTGAAATTGGTCACTTGTTCAGACTTAGCATTTTCTGAATTGTGAATGGCACGTAGTGCACTATATAGAGGATAGGGAACGATTCAGACAGTGTAAATATGCTTTCCATGGGGACGAAGGAAGTCTGGTTTCGTGTTGTCACGCGAACCGCTGCAGTGCATACAGAGTGCTCCCTTCCAGAGACATGATAGCACTGAGCGGATCATATGCGCGAGTCGGCGCAGACCATGAAACATTTCGGACCCATTTGAATTCTCCACAGAATGGATGAGATTAGGAGGAGAAACGTTTAGACAAACAGAACTAACAAGTAGAAGAGAAAACACCAGTGCCATGCGCCAACATAAATGACACCATTTTTAAAATACATATTCTCAGCATCATTATAATCACTGTTTTGTTTTAGTAACAGTTTCATATTGAATCTAAAGGGCTAATCTATTAGACTGTGGCTGTCATAAGCTTTTGATTAATCTTTAAAAAAAAAAAAAAAAAAACATTTGTGTAAGGTTGTCCAATGGCCAGACAAGTTTAAATCCCTTTTCTCCAGCAACCTATCACTCCACAACTGACTGTAAACCTGCACTCTGCGTCTGTTTAGTTTGCAACAGCCACTTTTCTACGATCCAATCATTTCCTGTTGGACACAATTATTTTTTTCTTATTCAATAAGCCATTTAGCTTGGATATATATGTCATAATAGGAAAGAAAAGACTGTCGACTTCAATACCACCTGTCTTGGACTAGCAATATCAAGTAGAAAACCATAATTAATGGCTGCTACATAAACTAAAGGCTGTTGGTTATTTTAAAAACAGATGAGTTCTTCAATATGTCCGGTCCCAACTTGCTGTTTCATATGTAGTACGGCAATAGAAGAAAGAACACTGTGCTCATAAAGCCATTTCATTGGGTTTTAATAGTTTTATTAAAAGGTATCTACAGTGTTAATTGAATAAAATGTGAATAAAACTACTCATTTGAGTAGTGCATGTAATATCACACTTTAGTAATAATTCCAGGGCTCAACATTAACTCTTGTCCAGGAAAAATGGATTTTGTGAAGGGGCAAGAGAAAGAGAATTTTACATGACGACCGGACAAGTAACAGGATTAAAATGCCAATAACAAACAATAATGAAGGCAGCACTGAAACTTTGGTGAGAATGATTCTGATTGTATTACTTTCAGTGTAAACTGACTGATAATGGATAATGCATTGACAGCATCAAGGTCGCGTCAGTCGAGAGTGATGTTTTTCCGACTATCAGCACGATTGCAAATGTGACATTGATTTTATATAACAGTAGTTCAATAAACAAGTAGTTAATATTAACTGACTTACATTTTAGACACATTATTGATGAAAATAGTTCTAAGCAAAGCCACAGCAGAACAGTCGTGCATCTCTGAGCAACGCACAACAGTTTCGTTACTGAATGATTCAGCATTGATGAATGAATCGGGTGAGTCAATGATTCAGTGAGCCATTCATAAAGACAGTCACTTGCTTCACTTATTGAATGAACCAGCCATTTGAACGAATTGGTTGAATCAATGACTCGCTTATTAAGACAGTGACTTGCCGCCACCTACTGGTGGTTTGGTTTCATATTTAAAAGTATCATTGTAGTTTTCCAACATTTCATATATGTAAAAAAATAGTAAAACATTAATCTTATAACATTATTTATGCATTTGCAATTTTACTGTGTGAATGCATTTATGGAACCTCTTGTCTTCATTAAACAGTCTGAGAAAAAATACATCTAAATGGCATTTTTGAAGCAGCTTCTGTGTTTCTGTGTAAAATCAATTTAAGGCAACTATCACAAATATGCTCATTAACCCTCAGACCGAGACAGCCGCCCGCGGCTAAAAATAACTAATGCTCTTAAATGATTAATAACTTTTGAACCGCTAATCCTACATGAATGCTTGAAAAAGTGTCGTAAAGCGGAGATTCTCCGCTTTTCGGAGGTATCACATTTGTCTCATTTGCATATTCAGAGGCTCTGTAGTGTACGTGATTACGTCATCGCATTTTGACAATGTTGATTCGTCAGAAGAAACCAATGCATTTCGTTCCTCTGAGCCAAACAGGAATGATTGTTGACGCTTAGTCCCACCCCCGTGCCAGATTGGTTAAAACTGTCCCATATTCAACCATTAAACATAGGTTTTGGTCTTTTGAACCACCAACTAGCTTGTTTCTTTGGACATTTGAACAAACGCAAAGTGAAAGTAAAGTCTGTCGTGCATGCATGAAAACAAACACAAAATAACACATTTGCATGAGAGAACTCTGCAAAAGCACATAAAAACACACGATCGAGTACTTTGACATAAAACAAACCAAAAACAAGGATGAAACAGCAGTACATATTGGGTAAAGCACTGGAATTTAGATATTAGTGTCGCTAGCCGATGTCTCTGTAAAATCGATTCCGAGGCAGAGTACAGCCAGCGGCTCGATCCATTTATATTATGTATATTATGTAAATAATTTTTATATAGTTCATAAAGATAATTTGCACTATTTTTTTTCTTTTGCACTCTGTAAATTTCTCACTGATTTTGTGTGTAGTTTGTAGGGGTCTTTTGTCAATATCGCACACCCCTAGTAGTTTGTGAATAATTTGCACTGTTTGTATTTTTGTTGCAGAAGACCATTTGTGCAATTGTTTTCACTAAATAGCTGCACGGTTTGTGTTTGTTGTTCATACTGAGATTGAAAATATTTCTCTGAAAACAAAAAATCTTTTTTTTTTTTATTTTTTTTTTAACTGTTTTGTTATTATGTAACACTGATTCCATTTTCTTTACTCTCTAAACATTTTTGGACACATCTATATTGTTAGTAAACTAAATGGACCTGTTTTTCACTTAAAAGCACCTATAACAATATCGTGATAAATGTCTATAACTTGATTGGGGAATGTTATATGTAGACAATTTTATTTGGAAGTGTAAAACACCCAGATACAACTTTCTAAAGAAAAAAATCCAAACTTCAGGAGTTTCTGTTTGAGTACACAGTAAAAAAAACAGCCAATTGTTGCTTGCGTTTTTCTTAAAATTCTGGAAATTCATTCATTCTTAGAGAAAACAAAAGGAAAATTGGGACTTTAAATTAGCTAGACTGAAACTTCAAGTTCTTTTGTTTATAATGATATATGAAACTTGATGCTGACTGCTAGAATAAGTCTGAAAAAACAAAGAAAAGTGCAGGTGCCCCAAAAATGTTCTAGGTCTAGCTCTAGGTTAAAGTAAGACCTGATAGAGCACTGATGAGACCATTGCTTCAGAATGAATTACATTTACATTTACATTTTCCCCCGGACAAGTGAATGACTGATTTAATTGTCCAAAGGACAAGCACATGTCAAAGCTTAATGTCGAGCCCTGAATTCTGATAAAAATTGTTGTAAAAAAAAAGGTGTGGAGTATTATGAGGGTCACCGTAACTCACTGTGCTAATAAAGGTATTATTACTATAGTAATATATTTCATTATTGGTTTAATTTATGTAATTCAATACTAATATTAATACTTCTATAATATTAATAATTATCATTGAGTTCAATGAGTTCCATTGAAAACAACAGTGTGTTTGAGTTTTTTTCTTTTTTTTTATCAGTTTAATTTATAAAATGTAATAAAATAAAAAATAATAACACAATTATTGTTTATGAAATTTTTTTTATTTTATAGTTACATTTCCACCACAGAATAAAATAAATAAATAAAAAAGGTAATTGTGACTTTTTATCTCACAATTCTAACTTGTCTTGCAAGTGTTCTCACGTTTCTAACTTTTATCTCAGAATTGCATGAAAAATGTCAGATAAAAAGTTGCAATTAACTTTATCTTTGTTATTTTGTGGCGGAAACAAGCTTTCATAAATATTGAATGGGTTCCATTAAAGCAAAAGTGTGAATGTGGCCTTAGACGCATGCTAAAATTGATTGTAACTAAACATTTTGAAGATGATATTTTACAAATGTTCCCTAGGGGGTGTTGTATTATCGTCATCCATTTCATTCCTGATGACTTTGCATCCCTGTAAAATTAAAGTGTGTATTCAAAGACCTTTTATCTGCTTGCTTTCAGCTCCAGAGGAACATTCTGGCTTCCAACCCACGTGTAACCAGATTTCACATCAACTGGGAGGGATGTGCTGAGAAAATGGAGGATTCAGAGAACGTGGACCCTGCACCCAACGCCATGCTGTCCCCATCCTGCACACCGGGAAAAGCACCTCCACTCGGCCTGGTGCCGGACAACTCCATGAACTGTTTGTAGTGACGCAGGCTCCTGTGAATAATCCTCACATCTCAAGGCTCATCCATGAGCTCAGGTCAATCTGGACACTGTGGAGGAGAGGCGGTATTATTCAAACACATCAGGAAAAAATAAAAAGTTTATCTAATTTTGACACAGTTGCCAAATGTATTTGAAACAAATCAGTGGTGTGCAGCATACGGCAAATCCTCCAGTATGCAATAAACATGTTTGCTTTTCAGTTTGAAACATGAATGGAGAGCTGATGAGTCATGAATCTAAGACATGATTTGGGTGTTAGGATGTGCTGCATCTAGGGGTGTGCGATATTGACAAAAAAAAGTGCGCACATGCACTAGTCTAGACTTCACGTAATGTATGCGTGCGCTCTGTAGGGATGTTTTGAATGGTTTTTGCAAAATACTCGATAATGTCAAATCGCACATCGTTAAAACAATTACGATATTATCGCAGACGATATATATCGCACACCCCTAGCTGCATCTAATGCCATCAAACTTTTGATCCAAAACAGATCCTTCCTCAAACCGAAAGGGGATGGAAGATCAGCTCAGCAGATAAGATGTCAGATGCATAATTAATTTAACAGACACAATCAGCAATAATTTTGTAAAAGGTTGCAGCGGACAATGTTTTTGTATGTGGGACTGTATTATATTGTGTATATATATATATTTATCTCTCTGTCTTTTTTGTATGCTAGTTCTCAATTAAATAAATGTTTTGTTACGTGATAAGTCATTGAAGTTGTTTTACTTTGATTTACCTTGTGCACAGAGTGGCTGCAGCTGTGCAGCCTTTTCATTCATAAAAAAGCTGTTGTGTTGCATTATGCAGGAGTACACCATGTTTGGAGTGACACAAGCCGCTTGCTTGTTGCTTGGCAACATGAACTATTGCAGCATATGTGACAATCTCAAAGTAGTGGTTTTTTTTTTTAATCGGTGTTTAATTAGCATCAGCGTTACGTTGTAGGTTTTGCTTCTCTTTATGTTATTGCACGGCATTATTAATGCATTTGCGGTTGCTATGCACAGTAAATCATGCAACCTGCTCATACGTGTGCATCACGAAACTGCGTTGGCTGGTACTTGGGACTCGTTTTCCGTTTCCTGCACGACAAATCCTAGCGCGCGCATTCGTTGCCGAAAATGCAATGCATTTACCTGCGTAAATATGACCTCGGCGTGCTTGTTTTGCACAAGACAGACACCGTTTTAATATTCCATAGACGTAGGGTGTTCGCGTTTTCAAATTCTGACCAACTTTCTAAAAATAGACCGTCTTGACGTCATACAGCCTATCACGGATTAGTCTAGCGGGAGGGGTTTGCGCGGCCATTTCGCTAACAAACACCACAGAGGATCACCAAAGGATTGTGAATGAAACCAATTATGTATTGAGAAAGCAAAACACCGCGCCCGTTTACAAAGACGGAAAGCGGACAGAGAAACCCGTGTTAATGAAATGAAAATAGATTACGTTATTTGTCAGTTTGCGGGGGTGGGATAAAATCCTACAGACAGATATCAGTTGGCCAATCATCGCTCACCCTGCATTGGATTGCTGAGCTCTTATCCAATCAGCTGCGCACTGCGCTAGCGCGTCACAAGCATAACGGCCAATGGGCATCGCGTAGGTCTCGCTGAAGCAGGAGATCCCTGTAACTGGATAGGGGATTAATGGAAGGGGTCTGACTGTCGAATTATGCGAACTACATAGTGCACACGACCGAATTGCTTTATCAACATAAACAAGCAAACGACCAGGCTACCGAAAAGGTACGGCCAAGTCGGCGTGCTGCGACAGGAATCGCGCACGGACGGTGAAAACAAGGGCTTGTGGCGCTCAAGGGAAAAGTCGAGGGCCTCGCTGAGGGTTAGCAGAGCGAGGAAGAGGAACGAGTGAAGAAGACGGGCTCTTAGTGCTATTTCAACGGACCCGAGCCGACCCAGGAGAGCCGAGAGACATTACCGAACCCGAAGCACTGCAACCAGACAGCTACTGTTAGCTAGCTAGCGCTCGCTCGCTAGCTAGCTAACCAACTAACCAGCTACTATCAACCTCCAGACTGTATGTTATCTGACAGCATACTGTGATCCATCGAGTTATGACCAGACATAGCTAGTGCAACGGACGCAGAAATCGTATGAGCAGAAAGGGGACGGAGTCTGAAGACAGTTGGCGTAAAGAAAAAGTCGATTTCGATTTGTTATACCTGGCCTGCAATCATGGGCAACGCGCCCACCGCCAAGAACAAGGGCAATGAGATGGAGAGCGGTAAGTGTTTGTGTGTTTACTTGAATTAGTCACACTCAGGCTGGGTTTCAAAGCATAGTGAACCGCCTGCCTGAACTGATCTTGGCCATTCATTTCCATTGAATGAATGACTAACATGATCTGACATCATAGTTAAAGGTATAGTTCACCCCAAAATGACGAATCTACTATTTACTCACAATCATGTCCTTCTAAACCTGTAACTTTCTTCTGTGGAGCTCAGAGGAAGACAATGTCTCATTAACTTTCAATGTATGTAAAAATATAGTGACGAAGGCTGTCAGTTCATAATATCTCTTTTGTGTGCTTCACGGTAGAAAAGTTATATGGGGTTGATAGCAATATGATG